TTCAGCAGCGTGGCTGGGTTAGGCCAGCACCCTGTGTTGCAGCCATCCTTACTTTATGGGAGAAGAGAAAGCCCAACTACCCTGGCTCCCTCTGCAGTGGGGAGCAGAGAGGGAAGAGATAATTTCCAAGGGCAGTTCTGGTCCTGGGTTGAGTAGAATTACTCTTCTAGAAATGCTTAGTTCTCTTCAGTGACTGCAGAGGGACCAAACCCCAGGTCAGCATCTTTTAAGAGCCTAAAGATACATGGGACAAATTCAGAACATGAAAACTGATGTGTTTTTATATATAAAGTCTGATGCTCTCTATTGTCCAGAGAGTGAGTTCTTTTGGGTGAAAAAAGAACCCATTCAGCACCAGATTTGCTTTAATACAAACCTACCAAGCAGATTTCATGTACAGATCAGAGTAGTAACTGAAGCACAAACCTCTTGCAGCTCTTGGCCTATCAGTTCCAATCAGAACTGTTTATTTTTAGCAAAGTCGCAATCAGCCTGAATGGTTAAAAGCCATGGGGTTCACAATTTGGAGGCGGCTGACTTTGGATATTGCTATATTCTGTCATACATATTCAGGGCCCCAACACAGCTGTATGTCATGTGTGCAGTTGAACTGCAATTAATGTGAAGCACAGTTAATATGTATATCTCCAAATTTTGGGAGTGCTTTGAGAACCTGAGTTCTGAGATGTATAGCTGGCAATGTATTTTTCCTGTGATAAAATGGTCTCTATTCACTTGATTTTTGTCACGTATGCCTGTCCTAACATTACTATATTGAAACACCTCAACATTGCCAACTGTGTTCTTAACACAGGGAGGAGGTTAAGATAAATTTCAGTTGATGATGCCTAGTGTATATAGCAGGTCTGTAGATAACCCAGAACCATTTTAAACCTGCATCTAAAGACACTCTTTTTGTCTCTGAGAGGTGGTAACTGAATCTCCTGTTAGGAAAAAAAGCCTCTCTTCCCCTTCAGTAGGTTTTAGTTTGAGCTTTTAGTGGCTTCACTATGAGCCTGAATCTAGGATGTGTGAAAACTTTTGTATTTCGTCACTTTCATCTTCATAAAAATGAGGCTCTTGCTTTCTTTACTGCAACATCCAGAAATCTGTATATATTCAAGGCTTGGAATTTGGCAGGAAGTCTTTATACATTGATTATCTGATTTTTGTCATGCTGGAGGATTTTACAGAAGATCACAGCAAGACTTTGTCTTTCTGGACAGCTTTCCCTTGAGATGTATTGTCTCCTGGGTTTTGATCCGAACGTGTGTCTGATTTCTTTGCAGTTTCTCAGCACCCTCTTTGCTCCGTTAAATTTTGTGATGGAAAAAGTAGAAAGCATCCTGCCCTCCAGTCTGTGGCACCAGCTGACAAGGATCTGAGGGAGCATGCCTGCTGACTGACTGCCATGACATCTTCTGTGCCAACTTTTTGTTGACCACAAGAAAGCATGATAAAAAAGGGAAGCAGTTCTAAGACTTAAAAACTCTTCATGGATTGTCTGTTCTCATATAAAAACTGTTTTGTTGTACAAAGTACGTTGATGTTAGGTTCTATTATATTTTGCCTTCAGAAATGAAAAATTTAAAAATAAACTTTTGTGTATTGCAGCATTGCTGTCTTTTGGCTGCTTCTTCAAAGCTCAGATTGCACTTTGTGTTCTTAAACGTGTGTGGTGTATCTGCTTCACCAGAGCTAGGGCTTGGCTTTCCGTTCAGTTAATGAAAAAACACTAACAACTTTACAATTATGCAATGGTATCACTGCCTTTTCTTAAGGAGTGCAGTTAGGGTGAAGCCCTCACCACCACAGTCTAGACAAGGCTTTCAGACAGTTAAATCTCCTTCTTAAAACAGCTTTAGGCTCTCCAGGTGGTTTGGATGGCACACTGGGCTTCTGATTCCCATCCCTGCACAGAGGCCAAATTCTCATTTGAATTTTCAAAAGTCCAAGTACTTTGACAGATTTTCTTCACAATGGTGTTAATTCAAGTACCTCCAGAAGCTCCATGCTTTGTTCTCTGCCCACAGAACAAAGTGAAAGAACAGCAGAGAACTGAAGACAAATTTACTTGTAGTGAGTGACCATTGCATTCATGCTCTGACATATTTCCTGCTGGGTTTTTATTGCATTATAAGAACTTTTCAATTATGAAAAAGCAGGTAGTCTTTCCTGTACAGATTAAACATTAGCATTATACAGTTGCTTGAGACCAGAAGCTCATTAACAAAATTGGTGTTAGCTCATGCACAATTAATAGAGAGGTTGGTGTTCCATCATTAGTGCTTACCTCAGGAAATCTTATCCCTGTGCTGCAGGAGGTTTAGACAGAATACTCACAACTTTTAGCCACTGTAGGTGGAAACTTAACACTGACACCTCTGCTAATGCAGCTCTAAGATCAAGAATGTGATCTGGAAGTTGAAGCAGATAGTCGTGCCTGTCCAGAATGAAAAGTGTGTTCTTACAAGTGCCTCAAGGATTATTATTTTTCCAACTCCTCTCCCAAATAAGGAAGCATAAACCAAATGAAGTGGATCCAAAATGCTACTTTGCCAGTTGAACTTTGCACTTCTTCTAAAAATGAGCAGCTTGAGAGACACTGATCACCAGCAGATAAGTTTATCAATGAGGATATGAATACTAAAAGCCAAAACTGCTGTTATTGGAGTTGGTGTAAGAGGAAAGTGTTTCTTTACAGCAGGACATGCATTCTGTAATGACTTGCCCTTTTGATCACAGATACACCAGTCTACGCAGAAGAAAGATGTTTGCCCAAGTGAGCAATCATGCTGCTTTAATGCAAACACTGCTGTGCTGTGAGAAAAATGTGAGTCCTCACACCAGGAGAAATCAGCTCAAGAATGAGACCTGAGGGACAACAAAGAAGATCAGAGAGCCCCATCGCTAAATGTTAAAACAGGTGTGCCACTGATGGGGATTTCCATACAGGGTTTTCATCTCTGACCACTATTCCTGCAAAGCATTTCACTGTAATGTTGCAATGAGTATGGCTTACATTTAATGTGGGATGTGGCATAAGATTAGAGAGAGCAGAAGACTCGTGGACAACACATGGAAGTGAGAAATGGGCCAATACGTACGTTGTTGGCTTTTCATTGGAATTGCTAGAACAGCCACAGAGAGCACCTTTACAGCAAGTGCTCCTGTGTACTTCCAGCTGTAAAACTAGGGATAATTATATTAGAGTTGTTTGACTCACAGTGACACTGTCAGAAAACTAAGGTTGGTGAAAATCAGAAGGTTCAGGCATAGTCAGCTCTTGCTGTCCTGTGCTGGTTTGGGTCACTTATTCCCAGCCCATTCAAAAACCTTCAAAGTTAATTTATATATGACCTACATTTCAAAATAACAAACTGCTGGGATTAACAGCCTTAACACATAAATATATTTGCCTATCAGTGTACACCTAGCTATATACAATCATCAGCAACTAAGGTAGTAGTTTGGCCTTCTGTTAGAATTACAATCTGTGTGGGAATTACTAGCCATAATAATCTGATAAGAAGGAATGTTTAACTTCTGGAAGAATCAGATCCTTACCTTGAACTATGGGGAAACCTTTAGGAACTCAAAAATGTTCTTTTGCTCTATTTCTACTATTTATAGTATCCATCTCCCTTATAAGCAGGCATGAGCCCTCGATTTTATCTAAAAAATACCTCTTTAGCATTAATTATAATTCTAGGCATCTGGGAGACTAGACAAGTCAGACAAAAGGATTTTTTTTCATCAGGCAGAATTTGTTGCCTTAAGCTTTTCTGCCTCTGACATGTTTCCTGTGAAGTTCAGCATGGCTTAGATTAAAAGGTAAACAAAGCCCATGATTATAATGATGGAAAGCCTCTGGCTTAGTGTGGAGATGAGACTTCTAGAAATCTGGTTCAGATAATAACTCATCTGAGCCTTCAGTTTGCAGATTTATGGGGGGGAAAGGGGGAAGAGAGCTTTAAAACCTAAAATTTTCACGGTTCCTATGTTTTTTTCTTTAAAACCAATAATTTGCTGTGATTTGGTATGAACACCAACTCTGATTTTTCAGTGGGATAGCAAAGGAGTCTTTACCCTAGTAGAAAGGAGGAAAAATACCAGCAGTTTTCCTGTGTTCCAACAACCTACAGAAGGTAAACACCCAAAGGAAGATGGACCCCTCACATGTCTCTTCATACCTGGTGTGGCTGGCACTGCAGGGAGGCCTTGGCAACCTCAGTGGCTCCAGTTAAGGTGCAGTGTGCAAGCCCCTGGCCCCACGTGTCACCCTGCTGCCCACAGAGCTCCTGCCTGGTTCCAGGGAGTCACCCCGGAACAACAAAGGAGGCACAGTCAACATATTGGCTCATACACGTTGGCTTCTTTCACACAAGAAAGATCTTAACATTATGGAGTCACATCCTTTTAATCAGGCAAATAAGCTGTTATTAAAAAAACAAACCAATCAAACCCTGTTTGTTATTATGGCCCATGAAATGCTGCTGTGATCCAGCTAATAATACAAGTTAATTTGTGTTGTTTGAAGTGGCAGGAGAAACCTGCAGGCTCTTCTTTGTGACCACAAAAGGACCTCTGTCCTCAGGGGTGGCCATCACCTGCACATGAAGGCCTTGGGCCTTCCCGAGAGTGAAAAGCAAAACCCACAGCAGCAAGCATGCCCTGATGCACTTCGTGCTGCCACCGTGGATTAAGAGCTCTTTTTCCTAGTGAAAGCACCCTCCAGCCCCAGCTCTTCCCTGATTCCCAGAAAGTCACTCACTTCCCCTTGGCCACCACACACCAAGTGCCACAAGAGGCTGAACACAAACCCTGCAGGCAGGGGCTGCTGGGTGCTTGCCCAGTGCAGTTGTGATATGGGCATTGATGCTGATGCCCTCCAGCAGCTGTGCAGCACAGTACAAAAATGGGGTGTTGTATTTCTAATTCACATTGCAGAGAGGGTTACACAAGGATGGGAGGGCAGGATGAGATGCATCAGCAGCACTTATAAAGTTCTGCAGGAAAATAAGGAGCAACAGAACAAGTTCTCAAGCTACAATACCCACATACCCTCATGCACCACCAAGTCATTCCCCATTTTTCCATGCAGTAAAAGCAAGTAACACGCCTTTTTTTTTTTTTTTTTTTTTTTTTGGGTGGGTGTGGGTGTGTGGGTGTGTGGGTGAGATTTCCCCTAAAACAGCTCAACACACTTTTTAGGGTAAAGTTTGTTAAAAAAGAAAATTGGGGGGAGGGAGCAATCCCAAAAAGCTTGGCAGGCAACAGCATTTCAGAGAGCTGCTAGATTCTGATTTCATGCAGCAAATTAAAGGGAACTCCCTCAAGAAAACTGGACAGTATATTTAAGAAAAACCAAAAATCCTACAACCTTTTGCCTCAGCTAACATCCTAATGCTAAACTGTCTACCTAGGGACAGCTGTTTCCTCTGCATGACTAAGTGCATGAGTAAATGTCTTCCATACATCAAAACATAGGATTATTTTATTTCTTTTTTTTTTTTATTTCAGTAGGGGTTTTTTAAAAAGTTCCCCAGCCTCAACCCAACCTTTTTTTTTTTTCCTTTCTTTGACTAGCCAAAGGTCAAAGAAGTGTCTTTCCTAGCAATGTTTACATCTCCGAGTGTCTTTTCCCACCAAGGAATAACAAAAGGAGCACATTCTTCATGGAAGAGGCAGCAGCAACGCTTAGAGCTGTAAAAAATCTCCTGTAAACTCTTAAAAAAAAACTTAAATCACAATTACAGGAAAAAAAAAATGGTAATCAAATGATGGGCCAGCTCAGCAGTTACACATTTGCTGTGCTACAAAATATTCTGGTTTTCCTCTGGTGACGTGAGGTCAGTGGAGGCTCAGCACTGCAGCTTATTAATATGACACTTGTGTGAAACCTAAATTTCAGCCTGCTGAGTGCACCTTTGGTGGGCTTGCTGCTCAATGGGGCAGGGAAGCTGGTGACAAAGGACACTGAAAAGGCCAAAGCACTCAATGCCACCATCTTCCCGGTCTTCCTGTAAGAACAGTCATCAGGAACCACAGGCCTCTGAGACCAGGGGAAAGTTTGGAGCAAGATGTACCTTGATCGAGGAGGAGGATGACCAGCTTGGGAAGTAAACGTTCCACCTTTACTACAATGACCCCAAAACACTACCTGAGACTGCAGGATTCAGGTGGGTTTGTTTTCTGCTGTAAAACCAAACAATGGAGTTAAGAAGTGAGCTGATTTCATTACCTTTTATTCAGCTGCATAGAACGAGTTCCCTTGTAAGAATGAGGATTCCTTTTTTTCCAGAACATTCCAGTATTTTCAGTTTTATTACATGTGTAGGCTACTCAAAGGGTCCCTGAACCTTTAAAAAAACCTGGCACAAAAAAGTTTAAAAATACTACCCTGTTCTTAAGTTCAAGGTTTAAAATGTGATTTTACTCAGACTGTGAAAGACATGCGGATTTGATTTCATGATGAAATCCTAATAAAAATTCTCCTTGGAGCTCACCTTTCAATACAATTAGGTTTGAATTTTTCCTTATCCAGCTCAGAGCCATAATTGCCAG